AGCAGCTTCGTGAGTGGGTTGTTCAGCGAGGCAGGCCAGGTGGTGGAGGTTTTGATTTTCAGTGGCCGAAGCGACGTCGCGACTGTGCTTCTCAGCGATGCGTCCCTGGCTGTATAGAGGTTCCTGCTCCAGGTTCTAGTGAGTCTGCTGCCGCCCCAGGTGCTAGTGAGTCTGCTGCCGCTCCAGGTACTAGTGAGTCTGCTGCAGCTCTAGGTGCCCGTGAGTCTGCCGACGCTCTAGGTGCTAGTGCGTCTCCTGCCACAGGTCCTGCCTCAGCTGAGGACTTGCACACTTTCACGCTTGACTCAGGCGCGTCACGTTGCTTCTTTCGTGATTGCACCACAGTCACACCACTCACAGTACTTGTCCCAGTCTCACTAGCTGACCCCTCTGGGGGCCCAGTAGTTGCGAGAGCCTCCACGGTTCTCCCTTGTCCAGCAGTCCCCTCCGGCTCTCTGTCAGGTCTCCACCTCCCCACGTTCTCGACGAACTTGGTGAGCAACGCTGCCGTTCGGGATGTCTGGGTTGATACCTTTATTCCTGGAGGGCAGCGTGTGGCGATCTGTACGTGCTCCCGGACTGGCCGTCACCTGGCTACGTTCACTCGACAGCCTGGGTCTAGTCTGTACACACTGACCACTGCGTCTGCACAAGTGGCTGAGTCAGGTCAGGTGGCTGCGTCGAGTCGGGCGTCTGCGTCGGGACAGTTAGCTGCGTCTTGCTCGTGCAGAGTACTCACACACGAGACTCAGCGCTGGCACCACCGTCTTGGTCACCCCTCCCTGCCGCGTCTACGCAGCATGCACTCCCGTCTCCTTGTCTCTAGCCTCCCCAGGACCCTGCCCCCCCTGCCGCGCTCGCTTGCCCCGCCGTGCCTTCCTTGCGTCGAGGGGCGGCAGTGCGCCGCTCCTCACTCCTCCGAGTTTCCTACGACCACTGCTCCTCTGCAGACTGTACACATGGATGTGTGGGGCCCGGCCCCCATCGGTGGAATGGACTGCGAGCACTACTTCCTGCTGGTTGTTGACGACTACACACGCTACACCACTGTCTTCCCCTTGCGGCGCAAGGCGGACGTCAGCGCTGTCCTGATCCCTTGGATCCGTGCTACTCGTCTCCAGTTGCACGAGCGGTTTCAGCAGGACTTCCCAGTCCTGCGTTTGCACTCTGACAGGGGCGGTGAGTTCTCCTCTGACCTCCTTGCGGGGTTCTGTCGAGCCGAGGGCATCCGCCAGACGTTCACGCTTCCGGCCTCTCCTCAGCAGAATGGGATTGCTGAGCGTTGCATTGGCTTGATCATGGAGGTTGCTCGCACCTCCATGATCCATGCGGCTGCTCCCCATTTTCTTTGGCCGTTTGCGGTCTGATACACTGCGCATCAGCTCAACCGCAGGCCCCGTGTCTCTGTGCCAGAGACCTCGCCCACCCTCCGGTGGATGGGGAAGCCTGGTGATGCGTCAGTGTATCGGGTGTGGGGCGCGCTCTCCCTTGTTCGCGATGCCAAAGCGAGCAAGCTCTCCTCTCGCACTCTCCGCTGCATCTTTCTTGGCTTCCCCACTGACGCCCTGCCGTGGCAATTCTACCACCCGTGCTCGCGTCGAGTCTTCGCCTCCCAGGACGTCACCTTTGACGAGTCTGTCTGTTACTACCAGTTACACCCGCACGCGTCCCACCCGGTTCCCCTAGCACCCCTCTTCCTGGTACCAGTCCCCCCCCCGGTAGACCCCCTCCCCCCACAGGGTCCTGCTCCCTCAGGTGTGTCTCAGGTCGACCCACCCCCCTTGGATGAGCCAGTGGAGATCTCTTCAGACTCCTCTGGCCCAGCTGAGGGGGGTGACCCAGTTGCGGACGACACGGCGGCCACTCGCCGCTCTCCACGCTTGGAGACCCCCCCGGGTTTTCCGCCTCGACCGTCTTCGCCCCCTCCGCAGCCTGCTGCTGTGGACTCTGGAGCTGAGACTACACGTGCTGAGACAGAGGGTGAGGGTTCTGGAGGTGCTGTGGCTGGGGGTGCTGGTTCTGGGGGTGCTGCGACTGGGGGTGCTGACTCTGGGGGTGCTGCGAGTCCTAGTGGCGGTGGAGTTGTGGGTGACCCTGTTGGAGGTCCTGGAGCTGGAGGTACTAGAGGTGCTTCTTGTGCTGGAGGTGCTAGAGCTACCACTACTGGAGGTGCTGGAGCTGGACAGCAGCCGCAGCCTGCTCTACTTGAGACACTCTCGCCGCAGGCGATTCGTGCGTGGGTCGTTCGGCGAGGAAGTCCTGGTGGTGGAGGGTACAGTCCTGCTGGTGCCGGAGCTACTAGTCCTAGAGGTGCTGCTGGTGCTGGAGCTACTAGTCCTAGAGGTGCTGGAGGTGCTGGAGGTACTGCTGGAGGTACTAGAGGTGCTGCTGGTGCTGGAGGTACTGGAGCTGCTAGTCCTGGAGGTACTGCTGGAGGTACTGGAGCTGCTGCTGGTGCTGGAGGTACTGGAGCTGCTAATCCTGGAGGTGCTGCTGGTGCTGGAGGTACTGGAGCTGCTGGCACTAGAGGTGCTGGTGCTACTGGTGCTGGAGTTGCGGGAACTGCTAGTCCTGGAGGTGCTCGTACTAGAGGTACTGGAGCTGCCGGAGCTGGTGGTGCTGCTCGTGCTGGAGGTGCTACTGGAGCTTCTGACCCTGGAGGTGCTGGTGTTGCTGGTGCTGGAGGCGCTGGAGCTGGAGGTACTGGAGGTGCTGGAGCTGCTGGTCCTGGAGGTGCTCGTACTAGAGGTGCTGGAGCTGCCGGAGCAGGTGGTACTGCTGGTGCTGGAGGTGCTGGAGGTGCTACTGGAGCTGCTGGCACTGGAGGTGCTGGTGCTGCTGGTGCTGGAGGCGCTGGAGCTGGAGGTACTGGAGGTGCTGGAGCTGCTGGTCCTGGAGGTGCTCGTACTAGAGGTGCTGGAGCTGTCGGAGCAGGTGGTACTGCTGGTGCTGGAGGTGCTGGAGGTGCTACTGGAGCTGCTGGCACTGGAGGTGCTGGAGGCGCTGGAGCTGGAGCTGGAGGTACTGGAGTTGCTGGAGCTGCGGGTCCTGGAGGTACTCCTACCAGTGGTGCTGGAGCTGCCGGAGCAGGTGGTACTACTGGTGCTGGAGGTGCTGGAGGTGCTACTGGAGCTGCTGGCACTGGAGGTGCTGGAGGTACTGCTGGTGCTAGAGGTGCTGGAGCTGCCGAAGCTAGTGGTGCTGGAGGTGCTGGAGGTGCTGGTGCTGCTCGTGCTGGAGGTACGGGAGCTGCTGGTGCTCTTCGCCACCTTCTCAGTCGTCCGCCAGGTACTACTGACTTCCCTGTGGCAGGTACTACTCCTCCGTTACTGTTTCCACCGGCCGACCAGTCTCAGCCGCCGCTACTACCGCACTCCCCACTGCCTGCTCCTACTCCTTACACTGCGGTGACACAGTCCCTGTCTGAGCGTCGAGAGCCTGAGACCCGTGCTTCCACCCCTGAGCGTCGAGAGCCTGAGTCTAGCTTTGACCTTGAGCCCGAGCCTAGAGCCGCTGTCCGTACTCGTGTTCCTCGTGTTCGTCGTCAGCGTGCTCCGGCTGTCCCAGGCACTCACGATATGACACTCCGTCCTTCCTCTGTTCCACAGCGTGTTGTCCTCCCGTTACCTCCTGCGTCCTCTCTTCCTGACGTTGCTGACCCTCCGTCTGACCTTGCTCGTGCGTCCAGTCCGACTGTTACTCGCTTTCTTGCTACGGTGGTGACTGACCCTTCGTTCTCGTCTCCTGCTGCGTCTGACTTAGTCGCTGAGCTCGTTGACTTTGCTGCTGTGTACTGCCTAGACTACCTTGCGAGTCTTGTTTCTGACCCTGTCCCTGCCTGTCCTCTGTCCGTCGGAGGTGAGACTGCCCTTGGCTGTACTGCCCTTGGCTGTGACGTTCTTGAGGACAGGCAGGAGGAGCTGGAGTGCCTTGCGGCCGCTTCACCCCATCTCGCGACCATGCTGCTTGCCCCTGAGGGAGACCCGGATGCACTTGACATCCCCACCCCGCGCTCTTACAGAGAGGCGATTTCGGGTGAGTACTCCTCTCAGTGGCAGACAGCCATGGACGCAGAGATGGCTTCCTGGAAGTCCACAGGCACCTACGTCGACGAGGTTCCCCCACCTGGGGCGAACATTGTCAGTGGAATGTGGATTTTCAGAGTGAAGCGGCCGCCGGGTTCTCCGCCTGCCTACGACAACAAGGCAATGATTGCCTTGTGTCGCGAGCAGAGACTGGAGCACAGAACGAAGCACATTGCTCCTCGCTACTTACAAGCAAAATTGATCAGATTTTGTGTCATACATATCGCATCCTCAATATCCGCGATTCCCATACAAACAAAATACTAAACATTTGACTACTTATAACAACAACAACAACAACAACAACAACAACAAATACAATTCTCAATTCTCAATTATCAAACCAATAAGGTGTCAGAACACCTACACTGTGGATCCCCGATTGATCGTAGGAAGGGTTATAGGTCTGTTGCCTGAGGGGTTATGGGCACACAAACCCGCTACTTAACAAGCCCCTTTATCCTAGTGGTCTTGTGACTGGGACTTTAACATGGTATTATAGCTAAAGGTCTCGGGTTCGAATTCCGGAGTATGCACATGCTGTCGTTTGCGCTGTGCCTTGTCTCGGGCCTCCCTGTGTGGGGGGGTGTCAGAAGACATACATCGTGGATCCCAGATTGATCCTAGGAAGGGTTACATGCCTGTTGCCTAGGGGGTTATGCGCGCACAGACCCGCTACTCAGGGCTGACGTTTCAAATTTGGCCCCCCTGATCCCACTAACAAATTTTTCATTTTACTCTGAGGCTACTTCGGCCAGACTTTGACCAGTCTGATGGCTCATTTTCTAGGAAAGTGGTAGTCTGTTCTCTCGGGGTTGGCAGGTTGAAATCAGGTTCCCTAAAAAAAAAAATCGCACGCGGAAAGTCCTCCTTACATCACTACACAACAACACAAGCTACACTACAATCAGAATCCTAGTGTAGCGGCTTATCCATGTGGTAGGTCTCTTCCCCCTCCTCCTCGCCATCGGAAAGGAAGGGGTTGTCTTCTTCTTCTTCAATCTCTTGATCCATCTCCCGCTCGTCACCCTCGTCGTCGGACTCCACGAACTCCTCCTCGAGAGCCGGCTCGCTGGGTCCCTCTTCTCCCTCCTCCGGTTCCTTCCCCTTGCGCTTCCGATCATCAGCTGAGAAAATCACGCTTTGCTCCGGGTGCCTCTTCTTGAGGCTCTTCCAGGTGTCCAGCACCCCAGGCCAGTCCATGTCGTACTGCAGCAGAGAGATCTGCATCAGCTCCGCCAACCGCGCGTTGCACAGAGACCCACGGACCCACGACTTAATCACGTTCTGCCGCGAAAACCCCCGCTCGCACTCCACAGTTGATAGTGGCAGACTTGCCAGCGCCTGCCACAGCAGCAACAGGTTGGGCCCGCGCCTGCCGAACACGAGGAAACAAACACAGATTAAGAATGTGAGCTGCAGGTCAATCATATGGCATTTTCTAAGCACGGTGACGTAAATACCTCTGAGCGTCGCTGCTCCCCATGAAGTTCGCCAGGCCCTGCACGAAGGACTCCTCCTCGTGGTGAGACTCCATGATGGGGCACCACGTAGCCAGCTCCAGCGAGGCTTTCCTCTGGTCAAACCCCGGGAGCTTGTTCTTGAACAGAGCGTTGCACCCAGTCAGCCAGTCCTGGCACTTGCGTGAGCGGGCGTGCTTGCTTTTCGGCCACTTTGAAGCGCGAAACAGCTTTGTCGGCCCCATCCCCCGCAGGTCGTCCAAGCGAAACAGGAGCCGGTCAACGCAGTCCTTTGCAAATTTGCGACACAGCCTCACGCAGTCCTTGTAGCCGCTCTTGAAGATGTGGCCCTTGATCATCCTCTCGTGCAGGATGTATGAGTGGTTGATAGGGTGGCCCTCTGCATCCGTGCCACGACTTCTGCCCCGACTTCTTCCCGTACAGCGTGAGAAACTTCGACAGCCACCCGTTGCCGCTTCCACCGAACAAGGCGTTGGTGTCGAGGTACCTGTGCTCGAGGTCGCCGGTGATCGATTCGACGGTCTTTGCCACCTCTGTGACATCGACCTTCGCACAAGCGTGAGAGTAGGTTAGAAGATGCTTATACTGAGAACATGGCCAAGAAGCAGACCCGGGCTCACCTGACGCTTCTGGAATGAACGGTTGAGATCGTTCATGTCGCCGAGGATGTCAGCGAGGAAGAAGAGGCAGAACTGGAACTTGTACGACGTCACCGTCTCGTACAACTCGTGCTCCTTCTCGTGGAACAGAACAATCGCGGCCCAAGCACCTTGCACAGTCGCTTCACCGCGTCGCCCCGTGACAGCCATCGCACGGCGTGGATTCCCTGCACCTCAAGATTCGTGTTGTATATGATGCGCTGCAGGTACTTGAACCTCTGGCTCCAGTGGCTTGAGCTGCCCAGGCGTTCCGCCAGCGTCCGCACAACGCTGTCCACCATGGCGAGATATGGATTAGCCGTGGCGGCGTCCTTCACCGCCAATGCCTCCCTGCAGTTTCAGACAGACAACATCGTCAGGAAAACTATCGGGTTAAAAAACACAACACAATAGCAGATAGCAACAGTTGTTCGACTCACCTGTAGGCGATGCAGTGAGTTGACACAAGATGCGGCACATGTTCCCGAAGTCTAGTTACGAGCCCGTTGTCGCAACCAATCATTACCGACGCTCCGTCCGTGCTGTTGCCCACCACCTTGTTGATGTCAATGTTGGCAGTGTGCAAGTGGTTCAGCAGAATAGCCAGGAGCGAAGCTGCATCCGCCCTCTCAACAGTTAGAAGGGTGAGATATTCGGTAGCGACACGACGATTGCGCAAGAAAGTTATGTACACAATCATATGCTTCCCGCGAGTCCGGTCGGTGCTCTCGTCCGTGCTCAAGCCGAGGAAGGGCGAAGAGGCGATGTGCTGCATCTGCTCCCGAGTCAACCAAGTGCTGAGGCAGTGCACCATCTGCTGGAACCCGTATCTGCAAGGGGTACGGCAAACAAACACATCAGTATTTAAATACTTGTTGATCATCAGCGGCTAAAGTACAATCTACATAACACACCTCGTGAGGTACACCCCGTAGGATTGCTTTGGGATGTCGGGGGTGTCCTGCTCAGCGAGATGCCGCATCAGCTTCGGGAACATGCTGATGGGCGCGTCCTCCTCGCACAAAAACTGCTCCGACCTCATCAGCCGAACTGCGCGCCGTCCCTCAATATCCGCGTTGATGAAGCGGTCGATCTTTGTCTGTCCCTTCGATATAGCCTCCGCAATCTCCGGCTGTCGCTGCATCGCCTCCTTGTGTACCGATGTGTGCTCGTAGATGCGCATGGTCTGCGTCTGCATGTCTCGTCCACCGTCGCCAGGACATGAGTACTTGGTAGTTTCCTTGCCGAAAGAGAGACACACGCTGCACTTCACACTTGGGCCACCATCTTTAGCGCGAACCAAAAGAAGCCACGGGAATTTGGGCAACCACTGACTGTCGTATTTCAAACTTGCCTCGATGAATTTCTGCTCCATTACCTCGGCCCTTGACAAGACGGGAGACTTGGTGTCCTCGCGTACGGGTATGTCCACAGGTTCGGGTTCGGATTCTTCGGCGGCCTCTGGTGGTGGCACGCGCACACCGCCGAACGTCAGCGTGCTCTGCTGGAACTTCCCCTTGAGCAAGATCGTGCGCGCTTTCTTGGCCGAACGTCCCTCAGACGCGGGAGCGGCTTGGTCGAAGCCGCTGCTACCAATTGCTGAGGGAGGGCCTTTACTCAACAACGCGATAGCGGGTGGGAGAGTGAACGCCGCTGGTGCAGGATCTAGATTGGGGGCCGGTTGCGGACCTTTGCTGGACGACACAACGGCAGGAGGGAGAGTGAATGCTGCTGGTTTCGGGTCGCCACACGGAACCACCGGCACCTCATCGGTATTAACAACGGCAGCGGTTCGCGGAGGATCATGTGTGACAGGAGCTACGCTAGCCCTAAGAAAATCGAGGCTGCTTTGCCGTTGATCGGGTGGCTTTTCCGGGACGGGGTCGGGCGAGTCCTCGGCGGGAGGTAAGGACGCCATGGCGAGAGAGAAAAGAAGCAGCAAAACGCTGGTGGAATGAAAACTGGCATTGGTTTTGGGGACCTCTTGAGTTGGAAAGAACGAGTTGAAGCAGACGGTGAGGAGCCAGGACGAAAGCCGCGGCGCGAGGAAATTGGTTCACCGTCAGAGCTGGGGTTTACATAATGAATCTGCCTTGGAATTCAGGGATGAATTCATCCCTCGAAGCCAGCACACGAAGGTGGTGTGCCATGCCACCAATCACAAACAATCCATCACATTCCGTGAGGGTGGCGCGGTGCGCATGCCTACCGAGCATCACACAAGTTGCCATGCTGGGGGCAGCGCGCCGCTTTGGGTTGCTGTGCTGTGTACAGCGCACCGACTGTTTTTGTCCCCATTACGTGGTTTCCAGCCCACGCGAACAAAAAGACAGCCACGCGGGGTGGGGAAATGATTACGCATGTGAAGGGGGGGGGGGGGGGGGGGGGGGGGGGGTATTTATCGGAAATTTCGAGGAAGCTTCGTCCCGATAAACTCGCATTCAGGGACCACAGAATGTATAAACTGTAGAGACAGACTCTAGAAACGACTAACACTGTGCCCTATTACAGTGAACCAGGGGCCATAAAACAATAACTCTGAGGCTCTCAGTGATCTAATGTTGACTACACTGGAAGTACATTTTTCACAAACTGGGTGGTCTGATTGGTCAGACTAATCAGACTATTTAGTCTGATAGCGTCAGCTTGCCGCTATGTCAGAAAGAACGAAACAGGAATGAAGAAAGGAGGCTTTCACTAGCAAGCAGTTGGATACATATAGCAAACCCTAATTGGGTTGTACTCACTATGGAGTACCCCACTGCAGGCTAGACAATTATAACATTCTGACACGCTACTTAACAAGCTCTTTTATCGCAGTGGTCTAGTGACCTGGACTTTAACAAAAAGTGTTTGGTTTGTTCTGTTTATTAATCTAGCAATAATGTTTACTGATAATATTGAGGTTTTATGCTACAACAAAAGGTGGTTCATGACATAAAGCAGTAAGGCTGTCTATTTTATAGTATAAGCCAGATAGAAAATGAGTGCTTTTCTTCACTCTTCATTTTGAACAATTGTCCCTTATGCGCTGCAGTGCCCTCGTTTGAATCCAACATTCTAATCGCGGCTTGGTTGCTCTCCCCACTCACCATGGTACAGATGTAGAGATGCTTCACGCTCACGCATCGCCTGCTCAAATGACCACTTATCGCGAGGCGCCCCCCTCCTCCTTGGTACACAAGCATCCGTCAACATCCATCTGCTACACGCACGCTATGCTACCACACCGCGCACCACATCCATTGCCTTCGAGACTACATGTTGCGGAGGCAACGCACAACAATCAATTGACTGGGCCACCCAACAGCAAGACTTAGTCAAACCTACCCAACCCAACAAAACCGTACAAAATGCCGGCGCACGCCCTTGTATCATCCTCTTGTGCAAGCAAACAGACATCAGCACATGACCACACCCTGTCGCATCACAACATGGGCGTCATGTGCTTGTTGTGATTGATAAGGGGGAACAACAGTGTTCGCGCAATAAAGAGATCGAACAAAACGAGCCGCTTTGTGGGTATCTTCCACATCCGGCAACCACCCTTTGACTGGAGGGGCTAGGGAAATGGGTCTCTGCTAGCTAAGACCGCTGCTGGTGGTTGGTTGGTGGCTCCGTGAACACAGCGAAGGAGCCGCAACTCGTGTACGCGTCGAAGCGTACCTTTTGAATGTTTCGCGACGCGATCAATCACACACAGCGCCGTCGCCTCCTCGCCTTGTTGCAATGCAACCGACAGTCTCCGGCGCCAGGTCAGGACGCCCTTTGAACGAACGAAACACGGCTCGTCTTTTCAACCAATAGGAACTGCGCGCTCGTGATACGTTATGTCACCACTCTAGCCATTGCGTCATTGCTAGCCATCTCGACAAAGCCTCTCGAGGTATATTAGGCTGACCTGACCTCACTTCCGTCAAACCATCTAATACGTCTCTAACTCATCCGGCTTCGCCTCCACCCAACCCGCATCTCCCACGAACACCAGCACCAGCCCTCGCCTCCCGTTAGTTCTTCCATCGACCGTTGCTCCTCATGGCTAAGATCTTCGCCGCTCTGCTCTTACTCCCGCTGTTAGTCACGTTGCACTTCATCTCCGTCGCTTCCACAGTCCAGCCGAGCAATCCCCAGGATCCCTTAGGCAACTACAACGACGGCAGCGGTGCTCCGACAGGGAACGCTGTCGGAAAGCCTAGGAACACCGGCAATCAGCAGGTGTCGCTGGCCCGCCCGGGCACCGGCAGCTTGCAGGTGGACGGCGATGCGCCGGGCGGTTTGGCTCCCGGCGGAGATCCCGCAGCGGCGGAAGCTCCCGCTGCGGCGCCAGCTTGCTCCGCCTCGCCTCTGAAGGGCTACACGTCGCGAGTGTTCATCAAGCCTAGCTGGTATGCATACTTAACCCTTCCCTACCCGCTCATGATCCCCGCTGCCCCTCCCCCAGCAACCCTTCTCGCTATTTTGTTTCCTTCTCCGCCGCCCCGCAATTCAAGAACATTCCCGGCTCATTAGGCCTAGCACCCACCCTTCCTTTTCCCGTGACCCTTCTGCTTCCCCACGACCAGGATCTCCCTGCATTGGGCTGTGATCAACGGCACGCAAGTCAACATCGCGATTGTCGCAAAGGTCGGCAGCGGCGCCGCCAAGGGGTGGTTTGCCCTGGGGTTCAGCAACGCCGGGACTATGGCCCCCTCCGATGCGGTGATCGCGAACACGGAGGACGTGCCGATTGCGGCGTACAACATTCTGGGCTACGGCCCGCAGGACGTCGTGCGCACGGACACCTTCAGCATTGGCGCGAACGCCAGCGTGGTTATGGTCAACGGGCGCACGGTCATCAAGTGAGTTGGCGAAAAAAAAGAACAACAACTAAAAAGCAGCAGTTGTAAGATTGTATTCGGTCTCCTGAACATCAGCTGATTGCACTCAGCCAATGCACACTACACCACAGTACTCGTTGTAAATACTCTCTCCGGCGTTTCGTCTGGTGTACAGGTTTAGCCGTGTCGCGGGCGACGGAACGATCCCTATCAACTTCAGCGGGCCGAACACGCTCATCTGGGCGCACGACCTGTTCGGCAACAAGACCATCGGCTACCACTTCCAGAAACAGTACGCCTCTTCACACACTAAACCCGCCTCCCACCTTGATTGCCACACTAATATCATAAATCGATCCCGATCGAATGGAACCATCTGATTGATAGCTGAGCTTATTATTTTTCTCGTCTACGTGTGCAGGGGTTCGCTGGTCGTTGACTTCTCCTGCGTGGGCACTGACAACTACAGCAGCCCCATTGACTCGACCATTGTGCCCGGCTCGCCGCAAACCCCCGTCAATGGCGGCAACACTCTCTGCCCGGCCTCCTCACTCGCCGGCTATGCCTACTCGCTCCCTCTCGAGGGTGACAGGTAAGCAGCACAGCAGTTCCAGCTTCGACGTGCCGTACCATTTCCCCTCCCGATTACTCCAGTGTCCTTTTCCCTGCCCTCCTCTCGCCTTCCGTTGCTCACGTTCCCTCTCCATCCTTGCCCCCTACCCTCCCCCCCTTCGTCCACCCCCAGCTTCCGCATGCACTGGAGCCCCCCCGTGGCCAATCAGCTCAACGTCGCATTGGAGGCCGCAGCAGGGAGCGAGGCGGCGGGCGGGTGGATGTCGCTCGGGTGGTCGCGCTCCGGCAGCATGGTTCCCGCTGACGCTGTTATCGGCAACCTTGCCGGCGGCGCCGTGCGCCCGTTCTACCTGACGGGATACCGTCGCTGGATGGTGGTGCAGAGCAGCACGTTCTCCGTCGGCATCACCAGCGTCAGCAAATCGCTCAAGGGGTCACTCGTGGTCAAGTAAGCAGTTGAAATCAAGCGTGCGTCAGTTCTTAGCCAACTTGAGTCGTGGGCTTTATTGATTGGTTTCCGTGGCCCTTTGCGATGCAGGTTCACGCTGACTGGTGGCGAGGGCGACATCCCTCTCGACTTCTCCGGCGCGAATCGCCTTATCTGGGCCCATTCTGCTGGAGGGTCCCAGGTCCTTAGCTACCACGGCAGCAACTTGTAAGATCCTAGATCATAGCTTTCCAGTTTCCCCGGTTGTTGCTGTTCTTTGTTTCCTTTGACGTCTTAGCTCACCAACTGACCTTCTGGAATGTCCTTTGATGCAGTGGCGACCTCACGCTTGATTTCAACTGCAAGACGGCTCCTAGTAACTCGGGCTCGTCTGGAGGGAGTGATTACTTCGACGATGATCAGGCGAGGAAGGAGGACAGGAAGGCTGCACGCAGAGGAGCTTGGAATGGGTTTTGGTCCGGAGTCTGGTCCGGCATGGTTGGCGGTGGTAATTAACTAGTTAGCAGGAAGCGGTATAATTCTTCTCGTAGCCAAGTAGAGACACGCCAAGCCGTGGGATCCTTCATGCGCGAAGCTAGTTGGTGGTTGTTGTAGCGCCTGGATTGCATTAGTAGCTTGTAGGAAATGTCTGATCACCTGCTGGTGTATGGTTGAAGTTGAGTAGTGATTTGAATTATGGGATGCTTGATCCTAAAACATCAACAACACATGAACCAGGAAAATTTACCTGAGTCGGAAAGATGAAACATGTCTGCCTCAGACCCAATGGAAAAAAGGGCTTTAAAAATCAGGGATCACAGACAAAAAAGGCTGAACTGAAGGCCCGTGAGTGTGCCAAACATCCCCTAAGCATTCTCAAACTACCGACATGTCTACTTCTAATAAGAATATTGATGCACTCCCCAGAAACAAATATACGCATTTGAAATCTTAGCTCAGTGGAAAAACATTTAGGATTGGGAACTAGAAGGGCCATGATTATTGGGGGGAAACATGTAAACTCGGAAATTTTTTTTGAAGGTCTTGAGTGCGTGCGAGCAAAGAGACCAATTGCGGAAAAACGGAAGGCGGCGGACTACAAATTGCTTCTGCAGCGACATAGGGGAGTGCAGTTTACACCTCTCATTGCTGAGACATGGGGTTGCCTGGGGGGGAGTTTTGGGCGGTGGCTTAAGAAACAGGGCGACGCGCAGATTGAGGTAGCGAAGACGAAAGGGGCGGCGAGAGCTACGGGGAAAGGTTTCTCGGCTTACTTGCTTGGATCACTTAAAGCGGCCATAGGTGTGGCTTTGCAGCGGGCTCAGGCGCGTGTGATCTTGTTGCGCGCGTCGTCGATGATGAGAGGCCCAGAGGCTGTTTCGGTGGAGCGGGAGGATTTTGAGGAGGAGATGGGATGGGATGCTCCGTGGGCGGATGCGCCCTATTTGGTGGACATGCGGGTTTAGAGGGTGGGTTTAGGTGAGGGGGGTGGGGGGTTTGGTTAGATGGGGCGTATTGTTGGGGTGTCTCGTTGGGGTGTCTCGTTGGGGTGTCTCGTTGGGGGTATCTCGTTGGGGTGTCTTTTGGGGTTCCTTATGTGCTGTTCTACTGGGGTGTTCTTGAGGCTGCGTTTTCCGTTTTTCTTTCATTTAAAACTGAAAAAGATGTTCCAGCAACTTACGCTGCTCTAAACACCGGAGACAAGGTGGTTCCTGCTCAAAAAAAAAAAAAAAAAAGAGACCAATGGAGTTCTCGCCAAAAATTCTAGACACTAATGAGGAAGTATCCTGCAAACATAAAGGGAGTGAAAAGCTATAAGAGACAAGCTAGAAGTCGTGTTGTTTTAGGGTTCTGGTTGATCTTCCTAAATCCTGCTTCCCAAATCGAGTCAAATTCCATCGTTGCCGTCCATAATTTTGAATGCTTTGTTCTTGGGAGTACTGTAATACGAGGCCCAGCAATCGCGCCCGTTTGTATCACTTCGTTCTGGACGAGGCGACGCGACCGCCACTAGTTCCGCTCTGGCCCCACTCATCATCATCGGATGCATCGCTGCACGCCCAGTTCGACCCTGTCGCTTTCCTTCACAACATCGCGCAACCGCAATTCGCCGACGTCGCGAACGAGAAATGTACACCCACCCCCCAGACTCCAGTACTCGCAGGCCATTCATGAATCCTCCTCCACCGACTCGCGCCGTACAAGGTTCCTCCCATCCCAACCCAAACCTCAGAAGTTCAATTCAAAACCTAGGTTGTTTCGTGAGGTTGCAGTGAGATGGTGTGCGTTGATGATAGGTTAAAACACGGAGGGGCTGGGTGGAGGGAAGGGATGGAAGAGGATAAGGTACAGCTGTTGTTTCTCCCCTTTCCTTGCATGCAACAATCAACCTCTAAACCTGTGAAGGGTGCCAAGCCATGCTCCTCTCCTCTTTCCTGCTCCTCAGTCACGTCTCCCCACAGTGCTGCAAGAGAGATTTTTCCAGCTGCTTCTCCCGTTTTGCATTGCGGACTCGTGCGCATTTCCGTGGCAACAATAGAACTAGTATCGCCCTCACCAAATGCATGCCGATTTTTTGTTAGTCTCGTAATTCTGATAAGCTCGGTGTCGCTCGTCCTCGTGCTTCATATTTTCGGAAACTGTTTCTCACCGCGTTTTAGCATTTCTGCTGGCATCATCCACCCTTCGTCTCTCACGTCCAGGATTAAAAAAACCTTCAATTAGACGCTCGGCCCCCGCTCTATTCCTTCTTTCCGACTGCGCTAATTATTCCTCCGGATCCCAGCATGATTCTTTTAGGACAGCGCCTCTACCGCTTCCTTCCTCCCGACCCTGAAATTGACATTCCTTCCGCTAACAACCGCGATGCTTCCTTTCCGCCATGGCAGCTTTCGCCTCCCCACGCGTCCCCTTTCACGGGCAAATCAGCCTGCCGCTGCCCTGAACGCACGTGTCCCAAGTGTGCCTCGCCACTCACATCCGCATCCACATCGAAATCCGCGTCGGCGTCCACGTCGGCGTCCACGTCGGCATCCACGTCAGCATCCACGTCAGCACCCACTTCCCCCGTCGCTTACAAACAAGCGCTACCTTTTTCCACCTCGCCATCATCCCACTCGCCTCCCGCTGCGCAGCTCGGCGCGCTCCCCGGCTCCGCCAGCCTTCCGCCTCCGCTCCTCCCAGTCAGCCCGCGAAGCGAACCCCTCTTCCGTACCGCCCGCCACCTCTCTCTCTCCCCCGTTCGCCTCGCTCCGTTATCACCCTCTTTGCGCCCTTGTGACGTGAACTCCCGCTGCCCCTGCGCGATCGGGAATGACGGGAGGAGCAGTGGGAGCGACAGCGAGGAGGGAGGAGAGGAAGGAGAGGAAGGAACCGGCGAGCGGTGCCGCAGTAGCTGCTGCTTCTGCTGCGTTGTGTGCGCCAGCAGCTGCGGCGCTAATGGCGGCGAGACTGGTGATTTCGCTCTGACCACCGGGGATTGCGGCGGTTGTAACGGCGACGAGAACGAGCCGTGCAGCCCTCTGCCCGTGTCTTACGGCGGCCGTGGCTCGCTTCGCGCTGACGACGACGAAGACGATGGCGGCGACAGCGAGAATAACAGCAACAACAACGACGACGTAGTAGACGCGCACGGGGGTCATGGGTCCCGCGTCGGCGGCGGCGTGAGAGGGAACGTCAGCAATGACGGGGATGAGGCGACGAATCAGCCAAGCACGGAGCAGGTAGCCATGGGAGGCAGTGGCAGCGCGGTTGGTACGTCTGCTCGTAGTAGCGAGTCTGGCGATCCCGCTACCTCGTCGTCTCGTGCTCGCGGTTGCGATGATGCCCCGAACGCAACTACTATCACCACCACAGCCGCCGCCGCCGCCGCCGCCTCAGCAAATGCGAGTCCTGCAAGGTTGTCTGGGAAGGAGCACGGAGGTGTGCCAGTTACCAATGAGTACAGCGGCAGCCAAACCACACCTGGGGGTACATTCTCTCATCTTCATCCCTCCTCTTCCTCCTCTTCCTCCGCCGCCTCCCCATCCTCCCCCTCCTCCCCCTCCTCCTCTGCGTCCACGCCAGCACCCTCTTTCGCCTCCACGTCACCATTCGCCGCGTTTGTCCCCGTTACAGACGTCTCCAGTATCCTCTCCACCCCGCGGGCTCTCCAGCTCTCCAAATCCGCCAAGAATCTCGTGGCTGCTGCCTCGGGCATAGCAGGTGCCATCAACACGAGCGTGGGTGCAATCAACACGAGCGCAATGAGCGACTTCCTTGCGACAAGTGCGAGTCACATGGATCGGATCATGCGGCGCAGCAGCTCTGCATCTGCTGTTGCTCCGGTTGTTACCCGCTCGCCTGTCGAGGCTCCTGCTCGGCCGGCTGTAGTAGCCGAAGCTGTAGGTGCTACAGCTGGCCGAGCAGGAGAAGCAGCAGGCGAGGTGGGAGCAGGCCAGGCTTTAGCAGGCGGTGCAGTTGGGGCGGAAGGCGCAGGTGGGTCAGGTGCTGCTGGTGCAGCAGCAGGCACTGGATTCCAAGATGATCGAAGGCGTGCAATCAGTGAGGGCGAAGATGGGGGGGAATGTGCGGATATTGCTAGGGTGGGGAATGGTGCCGGTATGGCGATTAGTGAAGCGGAACTAGGTGGAGAGGGACAGGAGGGCCAGCAGCAGGAGCGGCAGCATGAGCAGCGTGTGCGGTGGGAGGAGTGGCAGCAGATGGCCGTGCGTTTCCACGAGCAGATACAACAGAAGATGCTGACCCCAACAATGGAGGGGGAAATGGATAAGTCCTTCGTGGGGGGCACTGGAGCAGGATCAAGCAGTCAGTGCGGGTCACTCGAGGCATCAAGACTGGCAGGGAGTGGCTGTGTTGCAGATTCCCACACTGACCCTCCTCCTGTTGGTGCCTCAAATGTTGCTGTCGAGTGCACAGCAGAGGAAAGGCATTCCTCAGCAGTTTTGGCCAACTCAGTCTTGGTTGAAGGTCCAATGGATGTTGTTGGAGCTGGAATCGGAGATGGGGGTGGCAGCAGCCAGGGCAGATGGGAAGTGGCTGGATGGTTCCGTCAGGTGACTGGATGGGAAGGCACGGCTGGGGGTGCTGGATTGCCATCCGAACGGCTTGGGCTGCTTAGGTCGAATGGGTAGCATAAGCAGCAGCAGCTGGAGGCAGGAACCCATCATGTTGTGAGGCTCTTAAAGCGACGGTGCACATTTGCCACCCAAAACCCAGAACCCTGGCGAACTGTTACTGCGGATGGAAAGTGTCCGCACGAAATCCTGGTTTTCGCCAGCCAGCACTTTCGCGCTGGCAAGCCTGGTTAAAAAAAAAAACTTCTGAACCCAACACTGCCAAAAGTTGCCCGTCGCTTTAATTGCAGGTTGGGGGCTCGATGTCGCAGTCCACTAGGTCTGTTGCGTAATATTTTCTGTAGTAGGGGTTTGTTTAGGCATCGATGCCAGAAAAGGTTTGGCAGGTACTCTGGTGTCTATAATGTGGTAATTGTTTGACTCTTGCATGTCTTGAACAGTACTCATTTGTGGTCTTAGCCATACACCGTATGGACCTAGATATACGATGATCATATAGTTAATTGGTATGCACATTACAGTGTATGTTTTGTTCTTCGTTCATTAGGCTCCTGATTTTCCAAGCTGGACCATCCAAATTGTTCGTACTTATGTATTTACGTTTTTTGGTTGAAGCCATTTGTGTCTTGCTACGATATTTTAGGAGGCATGCTCTTAACGAGGCAAGATTGTGGGGAGCTCCACGTCACACGTGCTGAACGGCGAGCTTGGTGAACGTGAAGCTCCTCGGAGGATTAATTGAATTGAGGATCTGTTCAGTTGTTCAAAGGGTGTGAGATTTGGCCAGTGCAAATCATTGCCTTCTGCTTGACTTATGAGGAGGTCTCGAATGTATGAGTTTTAGCTAAGCGCGAAGGATGCGAAGTAGTTTTTAGAACACAGTCGTGTCTGCGTAAAGTTCGCTCATCGCGACACGCCAATAGGTGGGCAAGATTCGCTCATTGATTGGGTTTTGAAGGTCCACTTCGTTTTAGGCACACCCAGCGCGCTCCCCTTATGACAAAGTGACTGGGGCGCCCCGTGGACGAATCGCTTCGACTCGATATCTCTATCGGACGGTTCTCGTAGACGCAAAAAGGGGCAAAACGAGGCGCGTAGGTGCCTTGTCGCAAGTACGGAAGTTCGCGGTTCGGCTTCCCACGTTCCAAACTTTGGCGATCATCCAGTCGATTTGGAAAATCCCTCACCACTACTGTACAACACAATATAATGCGCGGGCTCCAACTGATTTCATCATTCGAGCTCAGATACCCTCGGTTGTCACCCAAGCCCCTCAGAATTAGCTAACACCAAGTACGCTCTACGAAGCAGACCCCCTCCACCGACAACCCTCCTCCACGCCTACTCCGTTTTGAACTTCTGACATTTCGGCTTGCCGACATGGGCACCAGCTGCGACCGGCGGTTGTACAAGCGCGCGTTAGTCGTTCTACTGGCAATCACCTTGATTGTTCTTGAAGCACAGGCGGAAAGCAGGCCTTCGGCACGGATCGGCGGTGGCATGAAAGGAGCAAAGAGGCGCTCCATGCAAGCTGCAACGTGCTTGCCATCGCAGCTTGATGGGTTCACTTCGTCCAAGATCCTCAAAAGAGGGTGCGCATGGTTGAAATCTCATCAACCCGGGCGCGCGGCGACGCGCACAAATTTCCTTCCTCCTTTTTCGTCGACCCCCTGATTTCGGGGCTGCATTGTCCTCCACGACTCCTCGGTGTGTTGTTCCACAGCGTGTTTTTCAATGTTCTCCCCCTCCGTTTTTTTCCTCCCCCTCCCTGCCTTCACAATGCAGACTCCGCCTCCACTGGAAGCCCGCCGTCGGCAACAAGCTCGAGCTCGCCGTCGAGGCGCGCGTGGGAAGCGGCGCCGCCAAGGGCTGGATCGCGGTAGGCTTCACGCCAGGTGGCGACGCGGCCACCGCCGACGCGGTGATTGGGCAAACCAGCACGGCTCCCGTGTCGACCTACACCATCTCACCCGACGGGCAGGTCATGCTGACAAATACCTTCTCTATCGGGGATGCGACTCTGGAGCGCTCGCGCCTGCGCGCTGTTATCCGCTTCACGCGGAGTGCTGGCGACGGCGCTGTGCCCGTGAAGCTCCGTGGGCCGAACAACATAATCTGGGCTTACGATATCAGCGGCGAGAAGGCGATTAACTACCAGAACCGTCGATCGTAAGTTTTCGCTGCCACCGTGGAAACACTCTACATCTGCTGCGACCACGGTTTTCCTGCAATCGTGCCGCGCTCTCATGCGTCCTTGGATCCTTCTCACATCAATCAGACCGCCCATTGCACGGAGTTGTCCAACGCCAGTCGGACATTCGTATCCAACGTTGGATCTCTCATATCTTCCCCGTCGCATCTCTCCCTGTAACTGCCGTACGTCTTCCCATCCCAGGGGCTCGGTCGTGGTCAACTTCGGCTGTGTGGGCGGCGCGCCTGCGGTAGAGAATCCCCTGAACCCCATTCCGGGCAGCAATAGCGGGATGGCCACTACCAATGTTCCAGGCGCGCCCGCCTCGCCCGCCGCGCCCGCCATCGGCTACTGCCCCAAGTCCAGCCTTGCTGGATACGCCTACTCTGCTAATCTCGACGGCGGCAGGTACGACCCGGTGCTTGGGGCATAATTAGAGACGGGAACTCGTTGCTCACTAAACGGGTCACATTGGGCTCGAGCTCAACCTGTTTTCGCCTGAACTTTTCCCTCGAATCGTGCTGATGGAGATTCCCTTCCCCTCCCCCACCTCCCCCTTCCCCCCAACCTGCTTCCGCGCCTCCAGCTTCGTGCTGCACTGGAAGCCCGTGCAGGGTCAGGCGATTCAGATGGCTATGGAGGCGACGGCCGGCAGCGGCGCGTCTAACGGCTGGTTCGGCATGGGGTGGTCGCGCGACGGGTCCATGTCGCCGAGCTACTCGGTGATCAAGAGCGGCTCGTCCCTGGCCGCGTACTACATCAACGGCTACAAGCGCAAGAACGTGGCGCCCACAAACGAGATATCGCTCGGCGCTCCGTCGCTCTCTCGATCTGCTGCGGGCTCCCTCGTCGCGCGGTGAGTGCTCTCCGCTCCGCCTATTTCCTGACGACCACCATCGCGCTTCGCCTCTCAATCTCGATCCCAAAGAAGTCGTTAAGGATGAAAGACTGATCTGGTAATCGTGTCTTTGTTGCTGTGCCAAACTCTCTCTGTGCTGCGCAGGTTTACTCTGACGGCAGGGGAGGGCAAGATTCCGCTCAAGCCATCCGGACTGAACTACATCATCTGGGCGTACAGCACGGGCAACCAGGGCATCGGCTTCCACGGCTCCAACGTGTACGTCTCGCGTTAACACCCCCCCCCCCCCCCCCCCCCCCCCCTTCCCCTCCCCTCTCCCCTCCCCCCATTCATCTAACCTCTGCTTTCTAGCAACGCTTTTCCGACGTTTTGCAGTGTGTCGTGCTGCTGTGAGGAGGACATTGGGCTGATCATTCAGCTCTGTTGTCGTGATTCATGTGCAGGGGCTGGGTGAAGGTTGATTTCTCGTGCGCGTTCTGGACTGACGGCATGGCCCCAACGAACACTGGCTCCAGCGGCAGTGGCAGCAGCGGCAGCAGCAGCAGCAACAACAATAATAATAATGACAACAACGACGACGATGATGATGATGATGACGACGATGACAATGATGGAAACCGCTCCTCCTGGGCTCGGGATATGAACCAGGCGAGTGGCAAGTACTACGCGGATCAGGGCACGACTTACTGGGAGGGCGTGGGTCAGGGAGTGGCTGAGCTGGCGGCTCCTATGGCGCTGAAAAAGCGGCTCCAGGCGGCTGAGGCGAAGAGGAAGCAGGAGCAGGACGCATACAACCGGCAGGTGGCCCGACAGGTGTATGGTCCTACGCAGAGCAATGATGATGATGGTAATTATGTTGCTCGAGAAGGTTAGGTTAGGCATAGAGGCTAATGATTCTTTGTGATGGATATTAGATCCTCACCAGTGGCAACAGAGCTATGCTTTAGTTTGTGCTAGAGAATGGTCACTGTTTACGGTATCTTTATTATTAATTGAAGTTTGTTTCAGCAATCAGGTGTATGAAAATGATTGTTGCACTCATTACGAACGAAGGTTTGAGCGTTATTTGGACAAGTTCCAGCGAACGAGTCTAATAACGTGGACGTTGTCTGATGGTCTCCAACGGCCTCCAGCGTTTTCCGACGTTTTTGTAGGTTTGAGCGTTGTTTGGACTGGTCACCAAACTGAACCCAAGCTATTTGTTTTAAAACCCCTCGTTACCGGCCCCAAGCTCATGTGTTTAATCTCTGCAGTCTTGTGTATCCTGAGCGAGCAAGAGCATTTCTTTCGCATTTCATTTTCTATGCACACACGGCATCATGCCGCCACTCATCGCGATCACGCCTCGCCGGCATCACAATCCCCCTCTCCCTCCGCGCGAGAATATCTGACTGCTTCGAAAGCTCGTGCGACGGATGCGAAGCTTTTTCGCCAGGCTTCCTTCGTCGTGAATCACCGACGTTTCGTCCTAGCTTCTCAAAACCAGACCCGCGCCGCCTAGCAATCGGCCATGGACCCTTCAACAGCCCAGAGCAGCCACCGCTTCTCTCCTAGCCCTACCTCGAAAAGCAATGTCAGCACCGCGTCTAGCGGCGGCAAACGCGGCGCCGGCAGCGGAGGCAGCAGCAGGCAGCAGCGTCGATCTAGGAAGCATCGGCGCGTTTGCCGCGCGGAGACCGTTATGCTTGTAATGATGCTGACAGTATCGGGGATGGCGCTAGCGGGCTCGCTGCTGCTCCTTCCCATGCGGCTGCCTCGGATTGGCTTGCCGAAAGGGCTAATGGGATCGCGGAAACTAGTACTTCGCCGCCATAGCGAGGAGTTGATAAGAGGGGAGGAGCGAACGCCGTTAACAGGCAACGACTCGGGACGCGTTTTGAGCATTGAGTCGACTCAAAAGCTATCGCACGGTCACGCTCATGGTGGGGAGTCGGCTGGCATTCAGCAGGACATGCACGAGCTCAAATCGTCGTCGACGCCTCTGACTGCATCCACGTCAGCATCCACGTCAGCATCCATGTCAGCATCCACGTCAGCACCCATGTCTGCATCGATTACACCTAAATCACTCCCTCCCGGCTCTTCCTCCTCCTCATCCTTCTCATCCTCCCCATCCTCCCCATCCTCTGCCCGCCCGTCCCCATCTGTCGCCATCTGCCTCGTGGGCTCCCCACGCGACTTCCACATAACGGGTCCCTCTATAAAGCGGCACCTGCTCTCCGCGTATCCCGCTGCGTCCACCCACGTCATCCTCAACAGCCCCTTCGACCACACCTCCGCACGCCTCCTCGCCCTCGCGCTCGCTTCCCCTGCTCCGCCACCGCTCTCCACCCCACGGACATTGCTTTCCACCCCACCACCACCGCTCTCCGCCGCTCCAACGCCTCCGAATGCCTCTCGTGGTGCAACTTCCGTGGAAGCTTCCTCCCCGTCTCCAGGAGCCGCTTTCCCCCTGGATCCCGCCTTCTCCCGCGTCTCCCTGCTGCGCATCTCCCCCCACGTCCCCCTCCCCGTGTCCCCCCAGGCCTCGCGCGTGCTCAATGCGGAGGGGTCCCCCAGTGGCGCGCAGGTGGGGGAAGGGCAGGGGGATAGGAAGAAACGGAGGAGGGGGGGGGAAGGGGAAGGAGGATTGAGGGGGGAGGGGCAGGATGGAGGGAGAGGGAAGGGCAGGGGCGAAAGGGGTGGGTTGGAGGGCAGGGGGAAGGGCAGGGAAGGGGGAGAGGTGACGGGAGAGAGGCGGAAGTGGATTTATGGGGATAGAACCTAGAGGGGTAGGAGAAGGAGCCATCACAACGACCATATTTGTGATTGTTGTTGCGGTTCTTCATCTTGCCTCGTCCGTTTTGAGTGGTGGGGTGGGGTATTGTAGGCGGGGAAGTCGAGTGGAGGGAAGTTGGGGGAACGGGGTTGAGGGGGGAAAGGATGGAGAAGAAAGAGGGTAGGATGACGCTGGCTGGATGCTTGGATTCCTTACCAGCGTTAATTTTCTGTGTTCTTTGCCTCTTCTCTGTGTCACTGTGTCTCTGTGTCTCTGTCCCCGTGCCTTCCCTCATGCCTTCCCTGCGCGTGACCCCATGCGTTCCCTGTGCCTTTCCCCATGCCGGGTATCTCTCAAGGCTTACTGCAGTACTTCCGTCTGGTCGACGGCTGTGCGTCTATTCTTCAAGTGCCTTAACAAACACCCCATTCCCCACCTCCCCCTCCCCCACCACCCCCCCCCCCCCCCCCCGCTCGGTGACCTTCCCTGTGCCCATTGTCTTTCACGACTTTCCCCATGCGCGGTATCTCTCAGGGCTTGCTGCAGTACTTCCATCTAGTCGAGGGCTGTGCGTCTCTTCTTGAAGTGCCTCATCAATACACCTAATGCCCCCCACCCCCACGCCCCTTACCCATACCCACCCCATGCCCGTTCTCTCCCAGGGCTTGCTGCAGTACTTCCATCTGGTCGAGGGCTGTGCGTCGCTCATTGCTCTGCTGGAACTCTCCTCCTCCTCCTCCTCCTCCTCCTCCTCCTCCTCCTCCTCCTCCTCCTCCTCCTCCTCCTCCTCCTCCTCCTCCTCCTCTTCCTCCTCCTCCTCCGCCTCCCCTCCTTCCCCTCATCCTCTCCACATCGACTACATCATCCGCTCTCGTCTTGACTCCTTCTGGACCGCCCCTGCCCCTCCTCTCTCCTCTCTCCACCTCCCTCTCACCACACTCATAACTCCTCCTGCTTACTCCGCTGCGAACGTCACTGCTACTGGAGCTGTTGCTGCTGCTGCTTCTGCTGCTGTTTCTGCTGTTTCTGCTGTTCCTGCTGTCTCTGCTGTCTCACCTGCAAAATCCGCGCCAGCAGCAGCAGCAGCAGAATCTTCAGCAGCGGTGGTGGCAGTACCGATGGGGTCGGAGTGGGGGGGATTGAACGATCGGTTTGCCATGGGGCGGAGGAGGGGTGCGTGGGAGGGGCTCATGCGCCTAACAGCCGTGGCCGCCCTGGATGCGCGGGGGATCAGGTGATGCTCCAGGTGAGAGGGGGTTGGCGCTTGGGGGAGCGCGCAGGGGAGAGGGGCAGGGGAGGGGGCAGGGGAGGAGGGGGTCAGGGGAGAGGGCTGGGGAAGGGGCAGGGGATGGGGGAGGGGAGATGGACCTGAGAGGGGGGTAGGGAAGGAGAGACGGAGGAAGAGAGGCAGGGGAAGGAATGTTATACTTTCTTACCCATGAGTTTTTTTTTTTTTTTTTTTTTTTTTTTTTTTTCACCATTCCTTCTCATCCCCCACAGCAGTTTTCCTTGAACCCTTTCCCTCCGTCTTCCCTCTTCGTCCCTCCTCCCTCCCTGTCTCTTCGAACCACCTTTTTCCCGTCCTTTCCTGCCCTCCAGCCGACATTCCCCCTCTCATTTTTGCTTGCGCCTCTGGTTGAATTTCTAGCGGATGCGTTTCCTTTATGCTCAAGCAATCGTTTTTCACTAATCTTCTCCCCATCTTGCATCTTCCGTCCATCTTGCATTTCCCCTCACCTTGCATCTTCCGCCCATCATGTGTATGAATGTGCGTGTGTGTGGGAGGTGTGTGTACAGGGGAGTGATATCGGAGCTGGCGTGGCAGGAGCAGCTGAGCATGAGTGGCACGAGGGTGCTGAAGCTCAACGTGTCTTTCTGTGTGCTCACTCGCCGCTTCACCCACCGTCCCCCTCCCACCAACACCACCAACGCCACCAACACCAACGCCACCAACACCAACGCCACCAGCAGCAGCACCAGCAGTAGTAGCACCGGCAACAGCAGCAGCATCACGAGTGGTGGAAACCAAAGCAGTAGCAGCAGCATCACCAACAGCAGCAGCGCCCACAACAACACCTCCCAAAGCAGCCCTTCCTCCCTCTGCCAGCCATACGTCTTCTCCCTGGCCTCCCCAATCCCCATGAATGGTGCGTACTGCCGCCCCTGCACGCACCCCTGCGCCCCCGCCTCCTCCCCTGCTGCTGCTGCAGCCTTCAGCACCCTCCCCTCGCCGCCCTCTCTTCACCACGGCTCTGCGTTTCCTTTGTTTCGAATGGGAATGGAGCTCTGCCCGGCTGTTGATACCCTCGGGGACGATGGGGACGGGGAGGGGGATTGGGAGGGGAAGGAACAGAGTGAGAAGGAAAAGAGTGAGAAGGAGGAACGGAGCGAAGAGGAGGAGGGGTGGCAGGATGGGGTGGCGCGTGTGGCAGGGCGGGCAGCAGTGGAGGAGAGCGAGAGGGTGGAGCAGCAGGTCAGGAACTACACTGCATGCGTTGCTCTCTTCCAAGCCATGCAAGCACAGCCCCATGTACTGGCGTGGATAGCACCTCCCCCAGATGTCATCTGCACGAGGGCACACCTGGGGCCGTCTGTGCCGCTTGCATCGTCCCCGGGTCTGGCGCCGTTCCCTGTCTTCCTCAGTCGGCTCTCCTATTCCAGGTAGGTACTGCAGGCAGAGTTTACACCGCTGGCTTGTCGTTGTGTTGTTGCGTTCCCTCTCAAGTCCGCGCTGTCTTAAGACCTTTTGAGATCTCGCAGTGCTGCATGTGACACACACACACACGAACTAGAAGGACTCCCATCGCCTGTGTTTGCCATGGATGGAGCTGATCTGCATCTGCTCTTGTGCTCTTAGGACCACATGCTTCGGACCCCTGTCGACCCTTCCTTCACTGCCCACCCACCCCCCAAACAGCACCGTGGTGATTCTCACAGCAGACCCCTCGCTCACAGACCTGCTCTCCATGCAGCTGCGCCTGCTGCTGCCGGGCGTACTTCCGCGCTGCATGGACTGGCACGGCCGCATGCTGCTGCCCTTTGGGGGCCTTGGGGGCGAGGCCGAGGCCGAGGGGGAGGGCGAGGGGAATGGGGAGGGGGAGGGGGAGAATGATGGAGTTATATCCCCAGGGGCCGGCGGTGGTGACAGTGCTGGTGATGGTGGAAGTGATGGTGGGGGTGATGGTGGGGGCGATGGTGGGGGTGATGGTGGTGAGGAGGAAGATGAGCAGGCTGTTGTGAGCGCCAGTCGGCGCATGGCACAGCACATCACCGCTCATGGACCTCTAGATGTCCTCGTGGTAACCTCTCCTTCCTTCTCGTCCCTCTCCCTGCTTCTCTTTCTTCGGAGATGAAGGAAGGGCGGGGAGGTGTGCCAGTACCCCTGTCCATCTCGCCCGCACAACTCTTTTCTCCTCGTTTTGTCGCACATTTGACCCGGCGTCCACTCGGATCGTCTCGTGTATTTTGATCGATCCCTGCTTTTGTGAGTCTGTTTGGGGGCACCTCAGTTCCTTTCTTAACTGAAGGTCATGCTCCCTGCTCCCTGCACCATTCTTTTGAGGCGCCTCAAAAGCTGCCCCCCCCCCATCCATTTTGTTTCTTCGTGCTGCTTGCTTCATTGCTTGCCTTTCCTTTCCCTTGACTTCTTGCTTGCTTCTTTGCTTTCACGCGTGCGTGTGCGCTTGCGTGTGCTTCCTTGACTCATGGTCCTTGCAGATGCCGGAGGTCGACCGTGTTGTGAGGACGGCCAGAGCATGGAGCAGGGACAAGGTACTTTGTGCTGCTCACCCTTGCTGCTCGCACATGCATGTCATCACATGCATTTCATGCCGTCACATTCTTGCCATCGCGCAAAAATCTTCAAATCTAAACCCATCTCCCATCACTGTTCTTCACCCACCCACCCACTCCCTCTCTCCACCCTCCTCTCACCTCCGCCCTGTTCATCCCCTTTTCCATCCACCCTCCCTCCCTGGTCCAGGCCTCCCTGCCAGTGTGCCAGCTGGTGGTCTCCGTCCCTACCCCAATGGATGAGGCATCTTCCTATCATACCACCTCTCCCCCACCTCTCTCTCCTCGCTCTCTGCACTCTCCTCACGTCGCCCCCGACGACCCTCTCCGCCATTACACTCGTGCCTTCTCCATGCTCCTCTCGGACCTCTTCCTGCTAGGGTGAGTGTGTGCATGAGAGAGTGAGCGAGTGAGTGCGCGAGTGCGCGAGTGAGCGAGTGAGTAGAGTGAGTGAGCAAGTGAGTAGAGTGAGTGAGTGAGCGAGCAAGTGAGTAGAGTGAGTGAGTGAGTAGAGTGAGAGAGTGACTGAGTCAGTGAGGATGAGTTTGTAAACTAGTGAGTGGATTGAGTGAGTGGGCGAGTGAGTGAGTGAGTGAGTGAGCGAGTGAGTGAGTGAGTGAGTTTGTAAGTGAGTGCACTGCAATCTTCCCTTTTACCACCATCACTTCCTGCATCGTATGTTATGATGCAGCTTCCATTTGGCGGCATGAGAGGGGGGTGCAGCCTACAGCACATGTTCCACACCACGTGCTCCAGCCCTCCCTTCCCCCCACTCTACACCCACCCATAATGCTCCGATCGAACCATGTCACCCCGCAAGTCACTACCCCTGATTTTGTTGCCTACTCGCTCCTGTCCGCACTTCGTCTTCCATACTGTCCCATCTCTTGTCCTCTCTCTTTCTGTCACCCTCCCCAACCCTTCCCCCTCCCCACTCTTGCCCACAATGCCCCGACACCTTGCAGCTTCCATCTGGCGGCATGTGAGGCGGATGCAGCCTACAGCACACACGCGTGCCTCTTTTTTAGTGTGCACCACTGCCTGCAGCAACCAGCCAGCAGCAAGCAGCAAGCAACGAGCAGATGACTCGTGGCTCGACTGAACAGCGAGGCAGATGCAGCGAACGGCTATTTTCAGCATGCCCCACTGCGTGCCAGGCAGGGAGCAACCAGCATCCTGCATCTAGAGACCAGCGACCAGGGAGTAGCCAGGAAGCGACTGGCAAGCACGCAGGCGCGGGCCAGCCAGCAGCAGCAACCACTCCTGGTGACCCCACAAGCTCACGCCAACTCCTGCGACAACACAGTGTACTCTTGTCACTGATGTAAGGGCAGTGGTGCAGTGGCGGTCTGATCGTGGGCCAGCGGGCTGCATGGCGAGACTGGGTTGCGGAAGGGAAGAGCCACGCTGGCATGTGAGAGGCCATAGGAGTAAAGAAACGAAAGAGCGAGTGAGTGGTCGCAAAATATTGCAGGAGAGGCAGATGAATCTGTGTAAACACTGCATGGCAGCGGTGGCTGGCTGTTGGTATGCAAGTGCATGGGAAGAGAGTGGCACTAAAAACACAATAACTTTTCTTGTATCATTTGTGCACTGTAGGAAATGACGCATTTGCACCTGTATAAACATGACTCCATTATTCTTACACTCCACGTGCATTTTACTTTTCTAGTTGCTACAAAGGTAATAATACCGTATAGCGGATTCGCATCCACAAGCGGGTACGCTGCCATCCCTTCTTGTGGTGAGGGGTGCTGTAAGGAAATTTCCTTTTCCTTACCTCGCGTCCCTGCTTACCGCGTACAAGACCATTCCCACCATCGGCACCCAAACAGTGAAACGTTACCTGCTCGCGACACTCGCCTCGACTACGACTCCCGCCACCATTCACGATGCGACCCAACCTCACGGTTCGGTTGGTAACCTGCGCTCCGGACCTTCGCCTCGACATTTCCCAACCTCGGCGCTAGGCCCGTAGCGCACCCCATTATCTCGCGTTACCGTTACCACTCTAGTTCGCTATATATTCTTCGCGCATGCCTTCGCTCATTGTATTGTTTTTGCTCCGATAGTGCAATTCTCGCTCACTCGCTCAATTGCACTCGTAACACTTGGTTTCAGAGCCTACGATCTCCTCTCGGACCGCACCCACACCTTCGCTTCCCCACTATCTCAATTTTGGGGGGGGTAGACGTCTCTCAGCGAACAAGCACCGCCGCTCGAAGTGCTCTCTCGTAAGCACGCACGGCCACGACAGAGGCTCCCGCTGAGTTTGCCCGACACCCCCGCCATGGCCGAAATTAATCTTGCGACATTGACGCAGGAGCAGCTCGACCGTCTCGTGCGCCAACTCGAAGATTCGGCGCTCGAAATCGCGACACTCACGGCGGAACGTGACTCCGCCCGCCAGCAATCAACGGTGAATGCGCCAGCACCATCACAAGCACCCGCAAATGCACCTGTGCAATCGGATGAGCCGATTATCATCTCGTCCGGCACACCGTCACATCACGACAGCGTGGGACAGCGCTCAGGCGCAGCCAGTGATAGTACCGCCCAGTCAATGCCTGGCATGGGGAGGAACAGGGCTGTACCAAGCACGAGCGGGCCTCGCGAAGCCCGTCGTCACGTTGAATTTGCGGCAACAATCGGCAACAACGACATTATCGCGCCGATGCCGCTCAAACCGCAGCGCCCGCCCTGTTTCGACCCGAGCCAACGAGAAGGTCCGACGGTTCAATCGTGGGTCTTCACGATGAACGTTTTTTTCGACGCGAATTACGTCGAGTCGGACGCAGCGAAGATTCGATATGCTGTTTCGCTGCTAATGTTGAAATATATTTCTTATATAAACTGCTTGTAGCGATAGTTAGTGTAGTGTTACATTGTTTGGTGGTGCACCTTGCTTGCTTTGCCTATATCCTTGTACCTTCTCTCTTTATTGAACACTTTTCTCCTTTGCAACTCTCTCGACATTCCTCTTGAACCCTAAACCTAAACTACTAAGCTACTAAAGCTATGGCTCCTAAGCCTAACTAAACTTCACTCATTTTGACATGGTATCAGAGCATTTATGCTCCTGGCCTGTGGGCCCCCACTTGCTTCCGCTGCCTGTCGTCCTGTCGCGCGCCTCGGGCGCGCGGCGTATTTTCCTCGCCGTGCGCCCCGGGCGCGCGGCGATTTTCTGCCCGCCGTGTGCTCGGGGCGCACGGCGGTTTTCTGCCCGCCGTGCGCCCCGGACGCGCGGCGGCTCTCTGCCCCACGTCCGCACGCGGGCTTCCTGCCCGTTGCGCTGCCCTGCAGGCCGCGCGCGGGCCTGTTCTGCCCGTCGCGCTGCCCAATGGGCCGCGCGCGGGCCTGCCCTGCACCCGCGACGCCGCCCCTGGACCCCGCACCGCCGCCCCTGTACCCCGCGAAGCCGCCCCATGGAGCCCGCCCGCGCCCTGCCTCACCTGCGCCTGCCCTCGTGCAGCCGCCCCTGCATCACCTGCGCCTGCCTTCGTGCAGCCGCCCCTGCATCACCTGCGCCTGCCCTCGTGCAGCCGCCCCTGCCTCACCTGCGCCCGCCCCTGGAGCAGCCGCCCCTGCAGCAGCCGCCCCTGGCCCCTGGAGCAGCCGCCACTGCAGCAGCCGCCCCTGGCCCCTGGAGCAGCCGCCCCTGCAGCAGCCGCCCCTGGCCCCTGGAGCAGCCGCCCCTGCAGCAGCCGCCCCTGGCCCCTGGAGCAGCCGCCACTGCAGCAGCCGCCCCTGGCCCCTGGAGCAGCCGCCCCTGCAGCAGCCGCCCCTGGCCCCTGGAGCAGCCGCCCCTGCAGCAGCCGCCCCTGCCTCCCCTGCGCCTGCCCTCGTGCAGCCGCCCCTGCCTCACCCGCGCCTGCCCTCGTGCCGCCGTGGAGGGGAGGGTATGGGGGTGGCGGGTGTGGGGGTGATGAGTGTGGGTGCTACCCTTCCCCTCCTCCTCCTCCCTCTTCGTCTCCCACTGCTGCAGCTGCCGCTGAAGGGGGGTGGATGTGTGGGAGCCGAGGGGAGTGGAGCTAAGGGGGTGTCGTGGGAGTGGAGACAGGGGTGCAGCAAGGGGGTGTGTGAGAAGGGGGTGTGGGACTGTTAGGGGAGGTAGAGCGGAGGTCGCCGTCGTGTCGTCAGCAGCGCCAGTAGTCCGGAGCCCTCGTGCTCTCGGTAACCCAGCGAGCCTGCTTCGCCAGTCGCCTGTGGGTCCGTTGCTCCTGCCGCTCGTCGTAGCCGCGGAGCCAGATACCCCCGTAGTCCGGTGCCCTCGTGCGCTCGGTAGCCACTGTGCGCGCCGCTCCTGTCGCCCGTGTGACTGCGGCTTCACCTGTCGCCTCCTATCTCCACCCCTGTCACAGTCCCTCCTCCTCCTCACTTCTCCTCTCCTTCTGCTGCGCTTGGTGTACCCCTTCAGGGGGTGTCTTTGCATTGGCTTCCTGCTGCAAGCAGTTTAGGGGGTGTGTTGAAATATATTTCTTATATAAACTGCTTGTAGCGATAGTTAGTGTAGTGTTACATTGTTTGGTGGTGCACCTTGCTTGCTTTGCCTATATCCTTG